CAGACCCCCGCCTCTCCTTGGGGAGGAGAGCCACAGACATTTTTAAAGCACCCCGGGCTTCATGCCCCATTGCTGCTCTTCCTGCTTGGGCTGTAGCCACACGGGCCTCCCTGGCGCTCCTTAAGCCTGCGCAGCATGCTCCCACCTCAGGGCCTCACGCTTTCTCTTCCTTCTGTTGATTAGAGTGGTGGTGCTCAGTAACTAGTTGTTGGATGGTCTCCAACGCCTCTCAGCCTCTCTCCTCTCTCCTCTCCACAGCCAGAGGGCTTCTTTTAAACATACACTCCATTGTTTCCCCTGCCTATAACCTCCCTGGCTCCCCATGACCCCTGAGAGGAGGTCTACCTTCCCCAGTCTGCATGCCCATCCCTCATAGCCCAGTCTCATGCCACCCCTCCCCCATGCTGCTCGCAAAGCCACAAATCCCCCTCTTCCCACCACTCCACATGCTGGGGCCCTCTCCCTGCAATGCCCTTCCTCTCATCTGTCTGGCTACTCCTGCTCACCCTTTAAGACCAAAAACTGCCTCCTCCGGGAAGCAGTCCCAGATCTCAGGCTGCATTAAACACCTCTGCTGTGCTCTCAGATCCCTGCACCAGCCCTTTCCATGGCACAGTCTGTCTCCCCCAGGGCGGGAGCTTCTATCTGGGCCCCGGCCCTGAGTGGCCAGATCCTTCGGCCTCAGCCTTCTTCCACACCAATTTGTGAGGGAGAAAAAACTCTTTATTGATAAATAGGTTACAGTAAAATAAAGTGATGTGTTTTTTGGGGGGAATAAAAACTCTGAGTCTGAGTGTCTCTCCACCCCGCCTCTAGCTCTTGGCTTCTGCCTTCACCCTGGTCTCTTTGGATGATGAGGCCGTGGTGGACGTGCCAGGCCTTCTTGGGCCCCTGGGGACCTCTGTCTTCCTGGTCAGTGGTTCAGGTACCATCTCGGACTCGCTGTCCTTAGGAACAGCAGCAGCTTTGGCTTTCGACCCTTTCCTGGCCCCCTGGGCAGTGGCCTCTTTAAGGACCTTGTTCCCTGTCTTCTTTTTGGCCGGGGCAGTCATACCATTTTCACTCTGTAAGAGAGCAAACCAAGGAGCAAGGCAACCAAGCTGATGAGGTGGGCACACAGCTTGGAGCCGCCAGCATGCGGGTGAAATCCCAGCTCTGGGAGGCTTTGGCCAAGAGACCTCACCTCTCTGAGACTCAGCGTCTTACCTGTGAGACGGGGATGGTGGTCCTTGGGGCGCTGGAGGGCCCGGGAGGAGGAGAGGTGCTTTGTAGGAAAACAAGTGACCCCCTTCCCCAGCTGACTTCCAGGGGCTGGGGCGGGGCCCAAACTCCGGCCTGTGCAGGGTGCAGACCCAGACCAGGGAGCCACACAGGCACCTACCTTGGGGACTGTGGGTTTTGAGCTCCGAGTCCCAGCCTTGGTTTTCCTGTGGGCCTTGGCATCTGCTGGAAACGGGGAGGGCATGGGGGAAGGACCCTCAGGAGGAGCTGCTGGTGGGCAGGGGGGTCGGGGGCTCCAGAGCCCTGGTCCTGCCTGGGCCCCCCTCCTCACTCTGCCTCTGACTGACTTGGGGCAAGTGGTTTAGCCTGAGCCTGGCTGCCCTCGTCTGCAAACTGGGAATGACAGTATCTCCCTAAGGAGTCGGAGAATGAGAGCCCCTCACTCTCAGCCTTGCCCCCTCTGGCCTCTTCACCCTTGCTCTGACCCCAATGCTCTGCACCCACCCACAACAAAGGGCCTAACAGGCTTATCAGCCTCTATTCCAGTGGTTCTCAACCTTCCTAATGCCGCGACCCTTTGATACAGTTCCTCAGGTTGTGATGACCCCCAGCCATAAAATTATTTTTGTTGCTACTTCATAACTGTAATTTTGCTACTGTTATGTATCGTAATGTAAATATCTGATACGCAGGATGTATTTTCATTGTTACAAATTGAACATAATTAAAGCATAGTGATTAATCACAAAAACAATATGTAATTATATATGTGTTTTCTGATGGTCTTAGGCGACCCCTGTGAAAGGGTCGTTTGACCCCCAAAGGGGTCGCGACCCACAGGTTGAGAACCACTGCTCTAGTCTTTAGTCCATCTCCCACATGGCAGCCGAGATACATTTAAAATACCTCAGACCCTAGGAGTCTTTCCATGGCTCCTCATTGTTCTCCAGATAAAGTCCAGACTCCGGGCTGCCCTTCCCAGCCTCCCCCTGCTGCTGCCCCTTTATACCCCCCACCCAATTGGACACAGAACAATTTTCACGTCCTCAAATGCTTTACCTTCATTTCTCCAGGCCTTTGCTTAGGCTGCTCTTCGGCCTGGGACACCTGCTCCAGGAAGCCTTCCCTGACTCCTCTTAGAGATGAGTCAGGCTCCCTTCCACCCCCCCCCCCCCCCCAATCAGCTTCCATGAGTCCCTCTGTCCGGGTCGAGCCTGATGCTCAGGGCACATGGACCAGATAGGAAATCTCCTCCCCAGAGCCAGCCCCTCCATCCTTACACCCAGTGGCTGCCCACACCCTCCTGTCGCCTCTTACACACCTACCTGGGCTGTCCTTCTTGCCTTTAATCTTTAACTTCCCATGGGGCCCACTGGCACCAGGAGGGGCCTCTGTGGCCTTGTCTGGCTGTTGGGGGGCCTTCCTGGCCTTGCCCCCTCTTGCCTCTTCGCCCTTGGTCTGGCCATCTTTCTTGGGGGCCTCCTCCTTGGCCTCACCAGGTCTCCGGGGGGCCGACACGGTGGCTGTCTTCCTGGGCTGGATTTTTTTCTTTTGCTTGGGAACTAACTGGCAGAGGAGAGAATGGGGTGGGGTTGAGAGCTGAGGTTCTGGGGGCTCTTGTCCCTACTCCCAACATCAAGCTCAGGGAGGAAGGCCCCAACAAAAAGGGAAGACGAAGGAGCTGGTCAGGGCACAGGGAGAAGACACACAACCACCGGCCAAATGCCTGCCACCGGGAACGCATTCAGTCCTTTCTCTGCACTGCAGGCAGGGCTGCTGCCACTTAGGAGCTGGGGGCCCGAGTCTCCCAGACTCACCCAAGCTGCTCTTCCTGCTTCCTGAGCCCCCCACCCCACCCCACCCCCGCATCTGGGAGCCTCAAAGCCAGGCTACTGGGAGCAAGTGGTGCCACTGTGAGCCCCACTCCCTCCTCTGGGAGGCTAAGCCGTGAACCTCCTTTGGCATCCTCCCTGCCCACCCCTTCCATGGACTGGCTCCGAGTCGCCCTCCCGCTCCCCAACAAAGCCTGCCCCACAGCACACGGCCACGTCTCCGAACTCCGGCCTTGCCCGCTATGCCCGCCAGTGGAACATGGACTTCACGGTCACACGGCCCAGCGTTTACAGCGCCCCCAGCCTCCCAGCTGTGCATCTTGGCAGAGTCTTCCCGTCCTTACAAGGGAGCCGTCGGAGAGGGTGTGCGCCTCAGGGGACGCAAGGGCCCCTGGCAAAAACGTGGTCCTTGCCTTCTAGAGCCTCCTTGTGACAACGTTGCCCCCTCACCCCCAAGCCCTCCCGGCTCCCCAGTTCCCACCCAGACCAGAAACAACCCCCACTCCCAGCACACACGCATCCCTAAGTCTATGAGTGCCCCAGGGCTGTGGTCGGCAAACTGCGGCTCAGGAGCCACATGCGGCTCTTTGGCCCCTTGAGTGTGGCTCTTCCTAGGCCTTAGGAGTACCCTAATTAAGTTAATAACAATGTACCTACCTATATAGTTTAAGTTTTAAAAATTTGGCTCTCAAAAGAAATTTCAGTCGTTGTACTGTTGATATTTGGCTCTGTTGACTAATGAGTTCCCCGACCACTGGCCTAGGGCCTTCCCTGCCTCCCACCCCCGCAGCCCACTTTCCCGATTAGCTCCCAGGCCCTGCAGCCTAACCCAGCCACGGGTACCCCAGCACCCTCTCTTCTCCCTCGCCCCACCCCAGCACCGGGTCTTGCCATGGCTGTCCGAGCTGTGGCGCGCGTCCAGGAGTTCTACAGGGATGGGACTTCCTGCGCTCGGCCACCATTACCACAGGGACTGGAACGCAGCAGGTGGAGAATGTTCCAAGGCAACTGTCAGAGCAACTGCTACCTGCCAGGGTGCAGCAAGGCCCAGGCAGACCCAGGCCTGGGTCCCTGAGATTTCCCCGGTGGCAGCTGGCAGTCCTGGTGCTGGGTTCACGTTGGTGACAACTCTGACCCCCTGGGGAACCCTCCCCTTTGAAAGAGGAGGATGTGGTGCTCAGGCAGGTGCCAGCCTTGGTTTGGAGCCAGGGAGCTGGGGAGTAAGCCTGGCTCTGTGACCCAGGGTCCAAGGTTGGGCTGCCTCGTCGGTGGAGAGGAGTTCCAGGAAAGGGTCGTGGGCAGAAGGGAACACAGGGGAGATGGTCCCTGGTCACTGAACACACCCGACAGGGACGAAGGTGGGCACAGCAGGGTGACCAGAGCTGTGTAGGGGCTCCGACGGGGCCCACACGCCAGCCTTCCTGGAGAAGAGGGAGTCTCTGAGACACACAGGAAAAAGGAGAGAAGACAGGGAGACAGGCCTCTGACGGGGGACCAGCACACAGTCAGGAAGAGGGAGCTGGACCTGAAGCTTAAACCCTGGCCGAGTCGCCATCCCCCTGAGGCCCCCCGGCCCCAGCAGGCTCACCTTGAAGCTGCCCGTGGCCCCCCTGGCCCTGGAGTTGATGGGCCTGATGAGGAGGCCGCGCTGCATGCCCGTGTCCAGGGCCCGCTTCAGCAGGTACTTGAGCCGGATGGCGTCCACCGTAGGGTACTTCTGCAGGATGTACAGCTTGATGGCCATCACCGAGGTGCCCCGGCGCTGCTCGCCCTCCTGCAGCGCCTCCAGCACCATGCGCAGCATCGGGGGGTTGCGGCGTGGTGGTGGGACGGCATGTTGGCGCGGGCCTGCGGGTGGACAGCAGGACGTCACCCAGAGCCCAAACCACCTTCAGGCCCCACGGACCATAAGCATGCCGGAGGACGCACACACCGGGCACCAGCCAGGCCCCACGGTGGGTGGGCAAAGGGCCCGGGGGACAAATATACCCCCAGTCAATGCCTGTGAGCACCCCACGGACAGGACACACTGCTTGGCCAGCATGGTCTCCTAGGCCCTTCATGGGATGAGGCACACACCGTGGAGGCTCATGGAAAGCATGAAATGTTCCCTTTAAAAATAAACAACCCAACAAATAAAATAGGTCCAGAGACAGGAAGCAAGAAATAGACTGAAGAATCTCAGAGAAAGTGGGGAGGCAGGGGTAGGGGGGGAGAGATGAACCAAAGAATTTATATGCATAAATGCATAACCCATGGACACAGACGACAGTGTGGTGAAGGCCCGGGAGGGGCTGAGAGTGGGGATGAGGGAGGGTCAGTGGGGGGAAATAGGGGGCCTCTGTAATACTTTCAACAACAGAGATAATTTATAAACAAACAAACGACCTGAAACCGGGTCAAGTGTCTAGATCTGCCTGCAGTCAGGGCACCCAGGGGCTCTGTGA